CCCCTCCCCGGGGAGGCACCCACACCCCCCCTCACCCCTCCCCGGGGAGGCACTCACACCCCCTCACCCCTCCCCGGGGAGGCACCCACACACCCCCTCCCCACTCCCGGGGAGATACCCACATACCCCCACCCCTCTCCGGCAGAGGCACTCACACCCCTAACCCTACCTAGGGGGCATTTCCCCCCCCACCAGGGAAGCACTCCCCCCACCCCCACCTGAGAGGCACTCACCCCCTCACCCCTCCCCGGGGAGGCACTCACTGCCCCCACCTGGGGAGGCACACACCTGTGAGCATCAGTCTGAAGGACACGTTGGCCTGGACCAGCAGGGGCTGCACGTGGCTCCAGAAGAGCTGCTGAGCCTTGCCCTTGCCGCTTCTGGGGTTCAGCAGCACCAGTGCCCGGAAGGGATCCGGGATGGGATCCTGGGGACCACGGACTAGGGAGGCAAACCCAGAGACCAAGTCCTCAGCCGACCAGCAGAGGGTTAAGGATGACAGCAGGGACTCTAGGATAATGGACCCAACTGGGAGTCTGGCCAAGAAAGTGGCCCGCTTGGGGAGTGCCCCCAGGCCCCCAGCGCTGCAGGAGACCAGCAGACCACACGCCCTCGGCTACTGACTGTGCTTTCTGTCCACGCGCTAATGTGTCTCCTCGAGTCCCTCTCTGTGAAGCTGACCCCTCGGCCTGTCCACTCAGCAGGAGAGTCCCACCCACTGTCCCTTCCTCCAGTGCCCACCAACCTGTATCCATGGCCGCGACCCCCGCCTCCATCTGCCAGGGGGTCCTCGGCGCTGGCGGGGCGCTGCCCTCGGCCGCCAGGCCTGTCTTCAGCTCCTTATCGCAGCTGCCCAGGCAGGCTTCGCGGGGCTGGCTGTGCGCTTTGTGCTCCCCGCCCCAGGCCGGGCCTGACCGGGCGCCCGCGCCATTCTCTGCGACTCGCCGCGGATCTGGGGAAGAACAGAGGGTACTGAGCCGTCCAGGCCGCGGCGGCCGGGCGGGGGGTGGCTCCAACTGTTCCTCGAGACCAGAGGCGCCTCCGGAACCCGCTCCGCCCCCGCCCGGCGCGGGGCCTTTCGGGGAGGGGGTGCGCGCCGCCGAGGGAGCCTGAGCCGCATGGGTCGCGCCTGCCCAGCTGCTCACCGCGCGGGGCCGCCGCGGGGAAAGGGGAGCAGTGGCGTAAAAATCCCAGAACTTGGGCGGACATCACGGAGCTCTGAGTTCAGGTGAGCGCTCCCGCCCCGCCGCGACCTTGGCGTCCCCTGCCCGGTGCTTCAGAGCCACCGAGGCCACCCGAGCCTCCGGCGCCTCACTCCTCGCAGCCACGACTGCGCGAGCGCCGGGTGCTGCCTCCTGCCCTTGCCAGAGCGGAGTGGGCGCGCAGGGGGTGCGGCGTGGGCCAGTTCCCCAAGGCTGCGCGGGGGCGGGTTGCCCCGGAGCGGGGCGGCGGGGCGGCGGGGCGGAGGCCCTGCCCAGCTGGCTCGGTTTGCTGGGAGGCGCCCCGGCTCCAGCCCTTTGCTTGTCCGTTTGAGAAGGAACGAACCTCGGCCCGCGAAGTGGCCGCCACCGAGTGCCCTGCAGGCGCGCACTTTCTGCTCGTTCTTCGGCCCTGGAACTTTTTGCTCAACTTGGCCGTTGGGCTCCGAGGGGCGCCGCGACCGCGCCTCCTAGCCACGCCCCGCGCGAGGGGTGGACCTGGCTGCTCACCGCCCAGGGCCGGGCCACGCGCAGGGCTCACCACGTCCCGGGAGCGCCAAAGAGCCCACCACCTCGAGAAGGCGGAGGGGAGCGGCCCCGGCGCGGGGTCTCCCTGCCTGCGCTCCCAGTTCCGGGCGGCACCTCGCCTCGCGCAGCGCCCATGTACAACCCAGAGGGCGCGGCTCTTGCAGGCCCGGGCCTGTTCACCAGCGTCCCACCGTCTCCCACCCACCTCCTACCAGGCTCCCACCGGGCTCCCACTGGGCTCTCACCATGGTCCCTTCTCCTGCTTCCCGTTCCGCGTGGAGAGCTATTTTTAGCTCCCTGACTCGGCGGCTCAAAAAGACCTGGCACGTGTCCCAGGCGCAGCCAGGAGGAGCGGACCGTGTGAGGAACCTCTCAGGTTAGCTGTTCTCCCACTGAGAACGCTCGAGGTCACCTGGGTCAGCTGTCCTTACAGCTGAAGACCCAGGTCCACCCCGCTTTCTCCCCAGAGAGGAGTCTGGGGAGGTGGACAGGGCCGGAGCCCCCGAAACTGAAGAGCTTGAGGGGCGGGGGAATGTGCTCTACTAGAGGCAAATAACGTGTCCTCTGTGTGTCGCCGACGACTGTGTGACCCGAACGTGTCCGCGCGCCCCTGGGGAGAAATCGAGGTGCTTTGCGTGCAGAAATGCGGAGGGAGGAGAAAGTCGGCAGGCCGACTGGGTGGCCGGACCTGGCGGGGCCACAGTTAGAAAACACCAAACCCCGCAGAATGGAGGTAGCCCGGCCGGGAGGCCCCGAGCCCACGCCCGGCCCCCGCCCGCCGCGCACACCTCTCCCCAGGCACCTCGCCACAAAGTCGGAAAGAGGCAGGTCTGGGAGGAGCGGAGGCGATCAGCTGGGTGGCAGCCCGATCCCTGACTCTCCTCCGCGGTGTCTTCGCAGCCGAGGACTTGGGCGACTCGGCATTTCCCAACACCGGGGTGTGAGCGGGGTCTCGGTCTCCCGCCCAGGGCGCAGACTCGGCGCGCGCGTCCCGGCGGTGCGCGCCCCCGCCCTGCGCGGTCCCCGGACCGCCCGTACTGGGACCCGAATGCGTTCCGGGAAGGTGACTCAGCGACGCGCCCGCGGATCGGGGAACTCCAGATATCCAAGAATGAGGGGAGGGTCCCGGGCTCATCACCCCCTCCCTGCGCCTGGTCGACGTCTGCACCCCAGACCCCCCCACTCCCCAGGATCCCGGAGGCGGTGGAGGGCAGCGCAGCCGCCGCAGTGCCGCGGTCACGGGATGCGGGGACGCGAGCGCGGAGGGGGAGGGGGCGCCTTGTGGAGCTGGGGCCCCCAGATCCTGGTCCTGTCCCTACCCACCCCCATCCGGCTGAATAGTTGAGGTCACAGCCTTGGCGCCTGCAAGATAGGGGGCGGGCGGTAGGTCGGGGGTACTGGTACTGGTTCTGGCCGGGGTGGCCTCCCCTCCTCCGTTATGACCTGCGTAGCAGGGGCGAGGGGGGAAGGGCATGGGGGCGGGCGGACGCTGTCCATGCTGGAGTCCGCGGAGAGAAAGTTCTCAGAGCACCAAGTTTCCCCGCTTCCTCCGGGGGCCTCAGGCTAGAGTCGCTGCGCCAGAGTGGGGTTGGCCCCCGAGGAGGAGGCGGGTGCAGCCTAGCGGGCCCTTTATCCCGCAGCCTCCGGGCCCAGTGGGAGGGAGACAAGGGCAGAGTCCTCTGCTCAGTTCCTATCTACACAATGGCCTCTCTGTCCTCACAGCCTGCCCCCACCTCCACTGCCTCTGCTCTGACCCCCCTCATTCCTGCCATTCAGACCTTCCTCACCTCCTCTCAGGTCCCGACACCCCATCCGCCCCCTCCGGCTCAGTTAGGTCTCCACAAGGACACCACACCCCACCCCCACCCCATAACGCACTCCAGTAAGCACCCCAAGAATTAGGATTGGGCAAGAGGCGCCCCTCCCTCAGACACTAGGGAACTGAAACCAGAGAGGTGACAGGGCTTGCTAACTGGGTTGAAGACCCAGTTCCCCAAAGGCCCTTTCCTAGCTTGGGAAGCCCAGAGCCCTGCCCCGTCTGCCGCTGGCCTCCTCACTCCCACGGATTTCATGGCTTTGGGGTGTTTGTTGGCCTGTGGGTTGCTTGGCACAGAGCAGTCCCAGGAACCTGGCTGCTGAGTTTCAACCAGAAGGGGAAAGTTGCTGGAAGCCCTCCTATAGGACCTCATTCCCCAAGCCCTGACTGGTTAACACGCTTCCGTGACCAGCCAAGCCTGACAGCAAACTAAGGCAACCCCAGCCTGGGCTGGCAAGTAATTCCTGTCCCACAGGTGAAAAGCGCTATCTTCTCCAGCCCCCCACCTCCTTGTGGGCAGCCTCTCTAGGGAGACACACCTGAGAAGCCTTTGCTTTTGCAAAGAAAGAAGCAGGTCCTTGGAGTCAAGGTCTCCAGGCGGCAGGTCCCTGGCCCTCATTAAGAGGATATTTCTGCCCTCTTCCCCTGAAGCTGCCTTCCATGGCAGACAGTGTGTCCCAACTGCAGGGCCTGCAGACCTCTCTGACCCCTTGTGTGGGCAGCGCCAAGAGGACAACCGAATCTGTCCTGGAAGAAGTTGTCCAAGCGCGCTCGTGGAGAGAAGCTTCCTCTCACATGCTTTGGCCACTGTATCAGGAGGCGCCAGTCTGTGGAGGAGGACATCGTGCTTGGAGTTGTACAGCGCCAGAGGAGATCGTTAAGTAGATGGATTGACATGGTCATTGCAGCAATGAGCTTAGGCCTCACAGCAGAGAGAGGACGGTGCAGGGCCCTTCTGTTCACGAGGTTCAGTCTGACTTGAGGGCACCAGGGGGTTCCCTGTTCTGCACACCCCCTGTGCTGTGTGTGTTCCGGATCTTCCAGATGTGACTTTACCTTCATAGGTTTGTTCACGCCAGACCCTGGGACGATGCCACCTTATCAGTGACCTGGTTCCAAGGATGCATGCCATCTGTGAGGAGCTGGGCTGCAGACTGGTAACACAAGATTCTTTTTTCCACCCCACATATCAAACCTACGGCCGTGGACTCCATTTCAGCTCACAGCAACCCTGAAGAGCTGCTCCGCGGTGATTCCAGGAGGAAAGGTTTGCAAGAGTGGACTGCCTCATCTCTCCCCTCTGAAAGGCTGATGAGGTTTAAGGACCAGTTTTATGGTTAACAGTTAAATCATTTAAGTACTCTTCCTCCAGGGCCCTTTTTTCCGTGTATCAACTCCAAGCACTGTGAAGTCAGAACCGACTCATAACTGATCCTCCAGGGGTTTTATTGTTGATGCCGTCGAGTCGAGCACAACTCAGTGACCCTACGAACAAAAGTCCTGAAGCCTTTGTAGAATTAATCTACATTTATCAAAGTTCACAAAGTTTTCAGAGCCATGTTAGTGGGCGTTGAGAGGCTGTAGAGAGGGGAGATAGCCCACCCTTCTCCCAGAGCCATTGGTGGATTTGAACCACCGGCCTCAGGGTTGGCAGTGTAACTTCTTAGCCATTATGCTGCCAGAGCTTCTTTTTCTGTGTATACAGTGGTGTTATGCTGAACTTGATAAATGAGTGGAAAGGTACTGTTAAAATTACATAACAATAAACACCCCCCAAAATAAACACACCCCCTGCCTCCTCGCTACTCATGGGGCCTGATCCTCCGTCAGATTTCTGGGCCTGGAACTCTTTGCAGAAGCACATTGCCTCATCTTCACCCTTCAGAATAGCTGGTGGATTTGAACTGTCTACCTTCCAGGGAGCTCTGGTGGCCTAGAGGCAAGAAGCTGCACTGCGATCCCGAAGGCACGCGGTTTGAGGCCTCCAGCTGCTCCTTGGGATGGGCAGTCTCCTCACATGCGATTAGCTGCCTCTGGAAACCCGCTGGTGGGTCAGGTACGGGTCAGTTCCGACTGGATGGTACCCAACAACAACAAGAACAACCTTTCGGTTAACAGCCTAATACGTAGCACACTGTGCCACCAGGGCTCCTTAAAATGACATTAAAAGGTTTATATTTGTTGTCATGTTGTTATTTTTGTGAGGTGCCATGAAATTGACTGTCACTCATAGCAACCCTGTGACCAACAGATAGAAATTGAGCAATTTAGTCCTATTCTGAAACATCCCACAATCCCTGCTGACCTCGGTCACTGTTGCCATCTTTCTGTCCACCCATCTCCCTAAGGGTCTTCCTCTCTTTGACCTTCCACTTTCCAAGCATAAATAATGTCTTTTTCCATGGATTGCTTGTTCATGACAAGCCGGAAGTATGTGAGGTGAAGTGACAGATCTGTTTTTTCTTTTGGCAGGTCACGGTGTATTCAATACTCTTGGCCAACACCACAATTCAAAGGCATCTACAGTCTTCATTATTTGTTGTCCATTTTTCAGATGCATTGGAAGCAGTTGAAAATACTATGGGATGCCCCAGGTGTACTTGCGTATTTAAACTGCCATTCTTGCTCCTTTGCACTTTGGACGGGTCCTTGACAGCAGATTTTCT